TTAATAAAAAAAAGTGTGCCGCCCCGTCACTAAACAAATAACCCCTAATTGGTAAGGGAAATTAAATGACCCAGCCCGCCCATTTAAGCTATAGATCTATAAACCATGCCAAAAAACTGTGCTGAAAGTGTGCTCACAAGAATCATTAATAAAAAAAAGTGTGCCGCCCCCGTTACTAAACAAATAACCCCTAATTAGAAAGGGTAATAAAATGACCCAGCCCTCCCATTTCAGCTATAGATCTATAAACCGTGCCAAAAAACTGTGCTGAAAGTGTGCTCACAGGACATTCATAAAAAAAGTGTGCCGCCCCCGTTACTAAACAAATAACCCCTAATTGGTAAGGGAAATAAAATGACCCAGCCCGCCCATTTCAGCTACAGATATATAAATCATGCCAAAAAACTGAGCTGAAAGTGTGCTCACAGGAATCATTAATAAAAAAAAGTGTGCCACCCCGTCACTAAACAAATAACCCCTAATTGGTAAGGGAAATAAAATGACCGAGCCCACCTATTTCAGCTATAGATCTATAAACCATGCCAAAAAACTGTGCTGAAAGTGTGCTCACAGGAATCATTAATAAAAAAAGTGTGCCGCCCCCGTTACTAAACAAATAACCCCGAATTGGTAAGGGAAATAAAATGACCCAGCCCACCCATTTCAGCTATAGATCTATAAACCATGCCAAAAAACTGTGCTGAAAGTGTGTTCACAGGAATCATTAATAAAAAAAGTTTGCCGCCCCCGTTACTAAACAAATAACCCCTAATTAGAAAGGGTAATAAAATGACCCAGCCCTCCCATTTCAGCTATAGATCTATAAACCGTGCCAAAAAACTGTGCTGAAAGTGTGCTCACAGGACATTCATAAAAAAAGTGTGCCGCCCCCGTTACTAAACAAATAACCCCTAATTGGTAAGGGAAATAAAATGACCCAGCCCGCCCATTTCAGCTACAGATATATAAATCATGCCAAAAAAATGAGCTGATAGTGTGCTCACAGGAATCATTAATAAAAAAAAGTGTGCCGCCCCGTCACTAAACAAATAACCCCTAATTTGTAAGGGAAATAAAATGACCCAGCCCGCCCATTTAAGCTATAGATCTATAAACCATGCCAAAAAACTGTGCTGAAAGTGTGCTCACAGGAATTATTAATAAAAAAAAGTGTGCCGCCCCCGTTACTAAACAAATAACCCCTAATTGGTAAGGGAAATAAAATGACCCAGCCCGCCCATTTTAGCTACAGATATAAAAATCATGCCAAAAACTGTACTGAAAGTGTGCTCACAGGAATCTAGAATAAAAAAAAGTGTGCCACCACCGTTACTAAACAAACAACCCCTAATTGGTAAGGGAAATAAAATGACCCAGCCCATGGGGAAAAGTTTGGTCGCGGGTGTAATTTTACCTCAGCGGATTTCGAAGTCCAATGAAAATAGACAGAGCGTGATTATAATTAGATTAGCAATAGAAATCGGAATTTTACCCCCTATCCATATAACTAGCGTTTAGACAACTGAAGATGTACGGGCCGGATTTTTACCCCCGGATTTTTACCACCAGAATTTTACCCCCTGAAATTTCACACCCATTATGTTATATTGTTTAATTGGGGCCGGTTTTACGCTATAGGACGATTTGCATTTGAACAGCACCTTTATACGTTTATACTATTTTAGTTTATCACAAACGAACCATATACACGATTTAATACTAATTCTTACCTTAGACATCTTGAACATTTTTGAAGATGGAAATTGCCAGTGTGAAGACAAAGACGATTCATCAGAAATTCTTGAAGGTCTTCTACCTCTCCACCCTGAAACTGATGGGAGCACACCACGAGCACAACCCCCAAGCAACGCTTGTATAGGCCACGGTCTTGAAAGCTTCAACCTTGTCTGTAGTACCTAGTACCCGTACGTGAGGTGGCGCCGTTGCGCTCGGTGACAGCTTTCATGTGATTGGCCCACGCACTCCTTACACTTTGCAAATAAATTTAGATTACCCAAAACAATAGAATATATAGATTATTACTGCAATCTTAATAAACCATAGATTATAATGGTGTCAACCATTACCTATTGAATTCTCTGAACAATTTTAAATAGGTGTACCATAACCACGGCCGCCTTTAACTCCAGGCCGCGGCCTTCGAAGTGGCAACGTCGCAAGTGGTGTTGTAACAGCTGTCTTGTTTGGAAGCAGCTAACGGTATTTGTGTATTTACGAAAGTTTGGTTACTAATTTAAATCAATAAAGTGAGGATTAATGAGCTGATGTCACCGAAACGGCACACGGAAGATTTCTCAGGTGCCGTTTGACGTCACTAACTGCTGACGTCACTTTGAGGGAACACCAATACCGCAACGATACGGAATGAGCCATCGGCCTCGGTGGTGCAGTGGATAGCGTTGCGAGCAGATAATCCGAATATTCTGGGTTCGAGTCCTGCCGGCGGCACTAACTTTTTTATCAACAATTTTTTCATATCAGCAAGTTTGGTTGGTTTGGTTAGGTTATGACAGTTTAATTTTATAATTAAAAAATTATAAAATTGAATTTTAGGCAATTATAATTTTACTTTACGAAAAAAACTATTTTTTAGATTAGTAAACCTTTATTCGATTTTTCCATTATCAGCACGTTTGGTTAGTTTGGTTAGGTTATGACAGTTTAATTTAATAATAGAAAATTATAAAATTGTCTGTTTCTTCAGACGCAGCAGTTAGTGACGTCAGCAGTTAGTGACGTCAGCAGTTAGTGACGTCAAACGGCACCTGAGAAATCTTCCGTGTGCCCCACCGCTGATGTCACCTGTCTGCCATATGGGACGTCTGTCACTAAACAACACCACTTGCGACGTTGCCAATTGTGCTAGGCCGCGGCCTGTAGTTAGAGGGGGCCGTGACCATAATAGAGTGTGTTATTTATATAAATTGTCTAAGATTACAAACGACATTATATACATTACAAAATCTAGCTTTTAAAAGTAGGGGAGTCCCATAATAAAGCTGTTAACTGTAATTAATCATTAAATAGGTAAATAAAAACTATTTAAAAAGATCCGTCAGGCTGGAAACCATCTAAAGTGTGTATCTAAATTTTATTAAGTACAGTATGTAAAAAAATAAGTAAGTTCCATGATAAATTAAATACCCCCGCCGCAGCAAACCTGCAGACTAAGCGAATTTCCATTTGCCTGATTGGATTTACACTAAAATGTCTCCTTAAAAATATCACATTTATCCCTATTTAAATAGAATCAGTTTAACACATACTTAGGTTTGCTGCAACAGGGAGGGTAAAAGTGTTTTTTTATGTAAAATGTTAATTTTTAGTAAGAAATAAAAACATGTTCCAAATTTGGGCAAAATATGTTAATAAACAAGTAAACTACAACAGTTTACTTATTCTCCATAAGAATAACATGGGAATTTTAAATTTGCAATTTTTTGGAATTTTCTCCGTAACCATTAGGCGCATTATAACGCTTCAATATACTAAATTATTTGTTTTTTTAAGCTCTACAAAATAGTTTAGAAAGAAATTGCAAAATTTGATGTTTTTTGGGTCAAAAATGGGAAAACCCCATTTTTACCCCATAAAACCCCCCATAAACCCCCGTTCCCACGGTCCGATCATGCTGGTTCGCGAACTCGTTCGAATAAACGTAGGTTTACACGTTTGTACCAAATTTCATCAAAATCGGATCATTTTTGCTCGAGTTATCGCGCTTACGGACACACATATATATATAAATATATATATAAATATATATATATATATATATATATATATATATATATACATATGAATGTGAACGGATGGTGTTTTTGGCCTCTAGGGACCTCAAAACGAAAAAAAAATCGGTCCCGGGTCCAGGTCTTACCATGAGTACTACGGTAATAGCTTTTTCCCTATATGGGAAATTCGCTAAAAGTGTTAAACAAAATTCCTTTCGACTAAAAGCTAAAATAAAAAGTTACATAATGCTCCTTTTCATATGTAAACACTTTTATTTTCTTAAAATTTGAATTAAAAACAAAAATAATATGACATTTAAAGTTGCAGCTGTGCAATGGCTAATCATTCAATCTGAAGCAATTAAACAGTTTACAGGCTGCTGGGGTGTTGAGCAGGTGACTATCAATACTATGTGTAGCTAAATGATATACTATTGGTAGCGGGCACACTTGCTTATTAATGGTACCTGTGGTCACACTTTTAGCACAATTCTTTGGCATAGTTCATAGATCTGTAGCTGAACTGGGTGGGCTGGATCATTATTACCCTTACCAATTAGGGGTTATTTGGCTTAGTAACAGGAGGGCACACTTTTTTTATTAATGACTCCTGTGAGCACACTTTCAGCACAGTTTTTTCGCATGGCATATGGATCTGTAGCTGAAATGGGCGGGCGGAGTCATTTTATTACCCTTACCAATTAGGGGTTATTTGGCTTAGTAACAGGAGGGCACACTTTTTTTATTAATGACTCCTGTGAGCACACTTTCAGCACAGTTTTTTCGCATGGTTTATGGATCTATAGGAGAAATGGGCGGGCTGGGTCATTTTATTACCCTTACCAGTTAGGGGTTATTTGTTTAGCAACGGGGGTGGCACACTTTTTTTTTCTTAATGATTCTTGTGAGCACACTTTCAGCACAGTTTTTTGGTATGGTCTATAGTTCAGTAGCTGAAATGGGCGGGACAGCTATGATTCTGGCCCGCCCAAATACAATTGATTATATCATTATTATTAAAAGAGCACACTTTTTTTAATAGCCGTTATAAAGAGCACACTTTTAGCAGACTTTTTTTATATAATTAAAAAAAGGGTGCTGGAATGGGCGGGCCTGGGCCAGCTTTACGTCACTTATGGTGCAAATATTATTTCGATATAAGTTACAGTATGATCTCACACAAAAACAAACCAATCAATTTTTACGTGTTCGTTAAGGGGCAGGGCGCCACATGTTATTTGCTGTATGATAATAATGAAATGTATGTAATGTGCTGAAGTTATCAGCAGTGTTACTTTTCTTTCGTGAATTATAACCTCAATCAATCAGTCAATCTCTGTCATTCTGTCAACAAGTTCGAGTTTTGGTGTGATTTTTCTTAGGTAAGTCAGGTATTAATTTACATCGTGGAACTATAAATAAGTTGTAAATTTGTAAATGTTTGGTTTTGGATATTATTTATTGTGCCTTGACTGAAATGTGACTACCCTACTTTTAGAAACTTGAGACTATTTTTAGCCGGTTTTTGAGATCTTCAGATCTTTATTGACTGTTTACTAACAATATTACGGGTGTGACTGTCACTTTGAATCATATTCATTAGGGGTAGGCTACAGTTTCTTAACTGGGCTATGCTAATATTGATTGAAACTATCGAATTGAAAATACTGATTAATAATCGATATTTTTATATATATCTATTATAAAATAAAGCTATCATAACCTAACCTAACCAACCAAACTTGCTGATGGTGAAAAAATCGCATGAAGGTTTACTAATCGATTCGATAGTTTCAATCTATATTAGCGTAGCCCAGTTAAGAAACTGTACCCTTTATTAGTTGTAAATTTGTAATCATTTAGATTAGTGTTGGGATATTGATGCAGTAACATCGATATTAGTATCGATAATCATATCGGCCTTTAAACATCGATGTCAATAAAATATCGAAGTCAAAATATCGATAAATATCGGAGTAAAACATCGATAGGCCTATTTAGTAAAACATCGGACCAAATACTGAATAAATAAAATTATGGGTACACTTCCATATCTGTTGGCACAAACAACCGAATGATTAATATTAATTATTCGATTGTTTAATTTGATATATCTTTTGGTTAGTTAGGTTAGGCTAGATTAATCTTACCTAACTAACCAAACGATATATCGAATAGCCTAATCGATATATCGATCGATATTTTCATTCAGTTGTTTGTGCCAACAGATATGGAAGTGTACCTACCCAAAAGTTTGCCTCTCAATGTTTTCTTTGTAGCCTACTTAAGTTATCGGATCTCGGACCTATCCCAAAAGGGCAGCTTTCCCAAATCTAGACTAACTTTGACGATCTTAGGTTAGACAATATTTTAACCTCAGATTTAAACCTCAGGCTTAAACCAGAGAAATAATTACTTCTTATACACCGATGGCCATGATAAGTGATATTAAAAAATAAAATATTGGAGTAAAATGTACTAATATAGCCTATAGGCCTAAGCTTACGCGCTATTAACAAAAATATTGGAGTAAAAATCGATTGTAACAATTTCAGAGTAGGCTAAAATATCGATACTAAAAATATATTGGATAACATCTATCGATGGAAAAAACATCGATTATCGACTTGTAAGCATCGATATTTTTGATATATCGACTATCGATACCCAACACTTTCATTTAGTTTGTAAACTGTTTCTCGAGCATAGACTTACTAAATTTGAGGCTTGGGACATTACATTTAGCCAGTTTTTTAAACATCTCGTCATAGTGAAGAAACAATTTGATCGCCACATGAAAAAGGCGCAGCAGCATTTTATATAAAACACTAGGTATAAAATATTTATTTATTTATACTTGCCTTTATTACTACCTACTACCTACTATGTACCTATACTTCTATATATTAATTACGTAAGCCGATTCTTTGCGTCAAAATTGTGGGCGACTGGGAAGTCGTAGAACGATGAGAGAGGGCTAAAATTAATAGTCTCAATCCCGTGACGGCGGGAAAAATAGTGTAATTCCCATCATTTTAACACAAAATGAGATAAAACTTAAAAAGTTCCCTATAAGAATAGCATTAGAAGCCATTTAAGTTACTACTGATTTTTGTTTACTTTACACAGCTGATCATTATTTATCATTAAGCTACCTTTTTTTTTTGTCTGTTGTTTTTTCGTCTGCTGGCTAGTAATCACGATTTATCTTGCTTGCACTGTGACATCGTATCTGTTTAATTATTTATAACATAGCCTACGTATAGGTAGTTTGCCAACAAATTGTATTGGATCGCAAATCTGGAAGAAAGATGAATGTATTAAACCATTAACATTCTATTTACCTCATCTAACTACGTGTTATTCCCCCAAATTGGTCCAGCCCTATTCTGCCAAATTTGTCTGCCATACATAACCCTATTTCACTTTGTGGATTTGTGGAACGAAGGAACTGAACCAAGCAAACGAATCTGCGTCTGTCATATTCCACAGCCTTCTAGATGTTATCAACTGTAAGAATAAATACTGTATGAAGTGCACCCACCTATCTAATTGCAATCTGAGTTGTTGATATCTCCTTGATAAACTGAATTTTTCCGTTTTTTTTTTTTACTGCAATACTGTACGAGGAACCGATGGTGAATTGAGTAGCCATCAGTAATGTAGGTTGAATATCGTCATTGAAGGGCGCGCTTCTCATCGTTTTGCCTATCAAGCCTCTTGGTTGTGCTGTTCTAAAACTATTTTATACTATATCAACGGCGTTATCATGTCTGTCACCTGCCCTGTTTGTGTTAAAGCAGTCCTTGACTCAGAAGACGCACTGGAGTGTGACGGGGATTGCAAACGATGGTTTCACCGTGAATGCATAAGAATGAATAAAACTGAATACAACGGCTTGGGCAACGATGGCAATATTAAATGGTCGTGTTCCCGTATGGACTATGTCTCTTTTTCCGCCTTTTTTATTTTAGTTGTAATATGTTTTCCCTATATCTCAACTTTCCGGGCAAATGACTTCCGTCATCTAAGCTTGATGAGCTGCTTGGTAAAGTGAACAAAATTGATGACATTTCTAAAGACGTGGCGGAAATTAGAGCGGAGGTGTCTGCTGTGTCAAACTCCTTATCAAGCTTGGAACCACGGGTGACTTCTGTCGAAAATAAAGTGGATTCCATATCCCAGAACCTGGCTAAAGCCTCCACAACGGTCGATACACATGGCGAACGATTAGCCAAGCTTGAAAGCCACTCCTCTTCTGATTCCTGCCTGGCTCCACTAATGAAGAAATTAATGAAAGAAATCTCCGGGCCAAAAATGTTATGGTCTTTGGGTTGCGTGAGAGCACAAAGAGTACGGCCGAGGACAGAATGATGGATGATAAGGAACACCTGAAAGTCATTTTCACAGCAATTGAACCTAGTTTAAATGTGAACTCCTTCAAGTTCTTTCGTGTTGGGAAAGGGTCAAGAGGCAAATCCCGTCCAATCAAAGTTATTGTTGGCTGTGAGGCTTCTGTTCGTGTGGCAAGGTTGCTACTAAGGATTTTCTAAAAGGGCTTGGAGAGAATTTCTCCAAAACTTCTATTAGCCGCGACCGAACTAATAATGAGGTTGAGCATTTAAAAAAACTTAGAGCTGAGCTGTCCCGTCGATCTGAGTCTGGTGAAGGAAATCTCACCATTAAATATAGTAATGGAATCCCAAAAATTGTCCAGTCAAAAAACGACTAAGCACCAAAAGCATTGAACACTTTTCCTTTTTGTATGAAAATGTTAATGGGATTTGTTCCAAACTCACGTCTTTGCATGCCCTTGTCCCTATCTCCATGAATAAAATTATTATATTTACCGAAACAAACTTGAATCCCACAATTACTTCTTCAGAGCTTGGCTTTGATGGATACGTTGTCTACCGAAAGGATCATTCGCCCCAAACTAGTAGCAAGCAGGATGGTGGGGGTGTTTTGATTGCCGTCCACAAGACTATTTTTTCATCCGAAATCGTACAGCCCGATTTACCAGTGGAGGCACTGTGTGTTCTTGTTAAACTTACAGCCAGCTGCAAGATAGTTGTCTGTGCAGCCTATATCCCTCCTCAAGCTCAAACAAGACTCTACTCTCTGTTTGCTGAGTCACTAGTGGAAGTATTGTCCGTCTACCACAACTATGACCACATACTAATTGCTGGGGACTTCAATCTACCTGGCTTCAACTGGATTCACCCCGAACTGTCAACTGCTCCTCCACCGGTCAATATCATTTTGGACTTGGCTGCACATCTTGGTGTCAATCAGATTAGTGATGTGGTGAATGATAGAGGAGTTCAGCTGGACTTGATCTTTGGGTCATCCGACGTCTTTACCGTGTCACATGCTAATGACCCCCTCCTTGCCCAAGAACTCTGCCATCCTAGCTTGTGTGTTTCTGCAGATATCCCTGAACCATCGATTGAGCACCCAAAGCACCCTACTTTCATCAGGAACATTCGAAGATGTGACATTGAAAAGGTTAAAATTGACCTCCAGGACGGAGCCATTCAGCTCGACTATGATTGCAGCGACGTTAATCTTCAATTCTCCACTTTTTGCAGTCAACTCAGCGAACTCATCAAATCTCACTCTCCTTGGAAGTCTGTCAGTCCCTCCGTCTTTCCAAAATGGTTCTCCGAAGAGCTTAGGGAACTTGTTATTCTCAAGAAGACGCTTCACAAGAAATATAAGTTATCTCTCAACATGATTGACTACCACAACTTTAGCGTCATTCGGGACCGATGCAGGGCTGTATCCAGGGATTGTCGTTTGAGCTACGTCAACCATGTTAATGTTAATACTACCATTTCCACTAATGTCAAGATCTTCTGGAGTTTTGTGAAGAATCTCAATCGAACATCTTCCATGCCCTGCTCCCTTAAACATGGTCCAACTGAGGTTTCCCACCCACATGAGATGAATGAGCTGTTTGCTGAATATTTGTCGTCCGTCTACTCTCATGCGTCCCTTGATGAGCTGCCAGTACCTTCATTTGATACTCCATTCACCATATCAGAATGTGCTATCTCCTTTGAAAATATCAATAAGAAGCTTCTTCACTTGGACCCCACCAAGGGAAGTGGACCTGACAACATCACGCCAGGAGTACTCAAATTCTGCCACTCTGAGTTGGTACACCAGCTCCATTTCTTATTTAACCTCAGTTTGTCTACAGGCACATTTCCCTCCACACTGAAATATGGTTATGTGGTTCCAATCTTCAAAGCCGGTGATCGTTGCGATGTTACAAATTACAGGCCCATAGTAATCCAGTCCGTCCTCAGTAAAGTTTTTGAAGGGCTTATTTTAGACATCGTACATCATTTATTTAAACATATCATAATTGATGAGC